TGAGGAGCGTAATGTGAGTGTGTGCAGTGTGAGGAGCGTTATGTGAGTGTGTGCAGTGTGAGGAGTGTGAGGTGAGCGTGTGCAGTGTGAGGAGTGTGATGTGAGCGTGTGCAGTGTGAGGAGTGTGATGTGAGCGTGTGCAGTGTGAGGAGCGTAATGTGAGCGTGTGCAGTGTGAGGAGCATTATGTGAGCGTGTGATGTGAGCGTGTGCAGTGTGAGGAGCGTAATGTGAGTGTGTGCAGTGTGAAGAACGTGATGTGAGCGTGTGCAGTGTGAGGAGCGTAATGTGAGCGTGTGCAGTGTGAGGAGCATTATGTGAGCGTGTGATGTGAGCGTGTGCAGTGTGAGGAGCGTAATGTGAGTGTGTGCAGTGTGAAGAACGTGATGTGAGTGTGTGCAGTGTGAGTAGCGTAATGTGAGTGTGTGCAGTGTGAGGAGAGTAATGTGAGTGTGTGCAGTGTGAGGAGCGTAATGTGAGTGTGTGCAGTGTGAGGAGCGTTATGTGAGTGTGTGCAGTGTGAGGAGTGTGAGGTGAGCGTGTGATGTGAGCGTGTGCAGTGTGAGGAGTGTGATGTGAGCGTGTGCAGTGTGAGGAGCGTTATGTGAGTGTGTGCAGTGTGAGGAGCATTATGTGAGTGTGTGCAGTGTGAGGAGCGTTATGTGAGTGTGTGCAGTGTGAGGAGCGTTATGTGAGTGTGTGCAGTGTGAGGAGCGTTATGTGAACGTGTGCAGTGTGAGGAGCGTTATGTGAGTGTGTGCAGTGTGAGGAGCGTTATGTGAACGTGTGCAGTGTGAAGAGTGTGATGGGAGTGTGAGGAACGTGATGTGAGCGTGTGCAGTGTGAGGAGCGTGATGTGAGCGTGTGCAGTGTGAGGAGTGTGTGCAGTGTGAGGAGTGCGAGCAGTGTGAGGAGTGTGTGCAGTGTGAGGAGTGTGATGTGAACGTGTGCAGTGTGAGGAGCGTTATGTGAGTGTGTGCAGTGTGAGGAGTGTGAGGTGAGCGTGTGATGTGAGCGTGTGCAGTGTGAGGAGTGTGATGTGAGCGTGTGCAGTGTGAGGAGCGTAATGTGAGTGTGTGCAGTGTGAGTAGTGTGATGTGAGCGTGTGCAGTGTGAGGAGTGTGAGGTGAGCGTGTGATGTGAGCGTGTGCAGTGTGAGGAGTGTGATGTGAGCGTGTGCAGTGTGAGGAGCGTAATGTGAGTGTGTGCAGTGTGAGGAACGCGATGTGAGCGTGTGCAGTGTGAGTAGTGTGATGTGAGCGTGTGCAGTGTGAGGAGCGTTATGTGAGTGTGTGCAGTGTGAGGAGTGTGAGGTGAGCGTGTGATGTGAGCGTGTGCAGTGTGAGGAGTGTGAGGTGAGCGTGTGATGTGAGCGTGTGCAGTGTGAGGAGTGTGATGTGAGCGTGTGCAGTGTGAGGAGCGTAATGTGAGTGTGTGCAGTGTGAGGAACGTGATGTGAGCGTGTGCAGTGTGAGGAGTGTGATGTGAGCGTGTGCAGTGTGAGTAGTGTGATGTGAGTGTGTGCAGTGTGAGGAGTGTGATGTGAGTGTGTGCAGTGTGAGGAGCGTAATGTGAGTGTGTGCAGTGTGAGGAGCGTAATGTGAGTATGTGCAGTGTGAGGAGCGTTATGTGAGTGTGTGCAGTGTGAGGAGCGTAATGTGAGTGTGTGCAGTGTGAGGAACGTGATGTGAGCGTGTGCAGTGTGAGTAGTGTGATGTGAGCGTGTGCAGTGTGAGGAGTGTGATGTGAGCGTGTGCAGTGTGAGTAGTGTGATGTGAGTGTGTGCAGTGTGAGGAGTGTGATGTGAGTGTGTGCAGTGTGAGGAGCGTAATGTGAGTGTGTGCAGTGTGAGGAGCGTAATGTGAGTATGTGCAGTGTGAGGAGTGTGATGTGAGCGTGTGCAGTGTGAGGAGTGTGATGTGAGCGTGTGCAGTGTGAGGAGCGTAATGTGAGCGTGTGCAGTGTGAGGAGCGTTATGTGAGTGTGTGCAGTGTGAGGAGTGTGAGGTGAGCGTGTGATGTGAGCGTGTGCAGTGTGAGGTGAGCGTGTGATGTGAGCGTGTGCAGTGTGAGGTGAGCGTGTGATGTGAGTGTGTGCAGTGTGAGGAGCGTAATGTGAGTGTGTGCAGTGTGAAGAACGTGATGTGAGCGTGTGCAGTGTGAGTAGTGTGATGTGAGTGTGTGCAATGTGAGGAGTGTGATGTGAGCGTGTGCAGTGTGAGTAGTGTGATGTGAGTGTGTGCAGTGTGAGTAGTGTGATGTGAGTGTGTGCAGTGTGAGGAGTGTGATGTGAGCGTGTGCAGTGTGAGGAGCGTGTGCAGTGTGAGGAGCGTAATGTGAGTGTGTGCAGTGTGAGTAGCGTAATGTGAGTGTGTGCAGTGTGAGTAGCGTAATGTGAGTGTGTGCAGTGTGAGTAGCGTAATGTGAGTGTGTGCAGTGTGAGTAGCGTAATGTGAGTGTGTGCAGTGTGAGGAACGTGATGTGAGCGTGTGCAGTGTGAGTAGTGTGATGTGAGTGTGTGCAGTGTGAGGAGCGTGATGTGAGCGTGTGCAGTGTGAGGAGCGTGTGCAGTGTGAGGAACGTGATGTGAGTGTGTGCAGTGTGAGGAGCGTAATGTGAGTGTGTGCAGTGTGAGTAGCGTAATGTGAGTGTGTGCAGTGTGAGTAGCGTAATGTGAGTGTGTGCAGTGTGAGTAGCGTAATGTGAGTGTGTGCAGTGTGAGTAGCGTAATGTGAGTGTGTGCAGTGTGAGGAGTGTGATGTGAGCGTGTGCAGTGTGAGGAGCGTGTGCAGTGTGAGGAGCGTAATGTGAGTGTGTGCAGTGTGAGGAGCGTAATGTGAGTGTGTGCAGTGTGAGGAACGTGATGTGAGCATGTGCAGTGTGAGTAGTGTGATGTGAGTGTGTGCAGTGTGAGGAGTGTGATGTGAGCGTGTGCAGTGTGAGGAGCGTGTGCAGTGTGAGGAGCGTGATGTGAGCATGTGCAGTGTGAGTAGTGTGATGTGAGTGTGTGCAGTGTGAGGAGTGTGATGTGAGCGTGTGCAGTGTGAGGAGCGTGTGCAGTGTGAGGAGCGTAATGTGAGTGTGTGCAGTGTGAGGAGCGTAATGTGAGTGTGTGCAGTGTGAGGAACGTGATGTGAGCGTGTGCAGTGTGAGTGGTGTGATGTGAGTGTGTGCAGTGTGAGGAGTGTGATGTGAGCGTGTGCAGTGTGAGGAGCGTAATGTGAGCGTGTGCAGTGTGAGGAGCGTGTGCAGTGTGAGGAGCGTGTGCAGTGTGAGGAGCGTAATGTGAGTGTGTGCAGTGTGAGGAGCGTAATGTGAGTGTGTGCAGTGTGAGGAACGTGATGTGAGCATGTGCAGTGTGAGTAGTGTGATGTGAGTGTGTGCAGTGTGAGGAGTGTGATGTGAGCGTGTGCAGTGTGAGGAGCGTGTGCAGTGTGAGGAGCGTGATGTGAGCATGTGCAGTGTGAGTAGTGTGATGTGAGTGTGTGCAGTGTGAGGAGTGTGATGTGAGCGTGTGCAGTGTGAGGAGCGTGTGCAGTGTGAGGAGCGTAATGTGAGTGTGTGCAGTGTGAGGAGCGTAATGTGAGTGTGTGCAGTGTGAGGAACGTGATGTGAGCGTGTGCAGTGTGAGTGGTGTGATGTGAGTGTGTGCAGTGTGAGGAGTGTGATGTGAGCGTGTGCAGTGTGAGGAGCGTAATGTGAGCGTGTGCAGTGTGAGGAGCGTGTGCAGTGTGAGGAGCGTGTGCAGTGTGAGGAGCGTAATGTGAGTGTGTGCAGTGTGAGGAACGTCATGTGAGCGTGTGCAGTGTGAGTAGTGTGATGTGAGTGTGTGCAGTGTGAGGAGCGTAATGTGAGCGTGTGCAGTGTGAGGAGCGTGTGCAGTGTGAGGAACGTGATGTGAGCATGTGCAGTGTGAGTAGTGTGATGTGAGTGTGTGCAGTGTGAGGAGTGTGATGTGAGCGTGTGCAGTGTGAGGAGTGTGTGCAGTGTGAGGAGCGTAATGTGAGTGTGTGCAGTGTGAGGAGCGTAATGTGAGTGTGTGCAGTGTGAGGAACGTGATGTGAGCGTGTGCAGTGTGAGTAGTGTGATGTGAGTGTGTGCAGTGTGAGGAGTGTGATGTGAGCGTGTGCAGTGTGAGGAGCGTAATGTGAGCGTGTGCAGTGTGAGGAGCGTGTGCAGTGTGAGGAGCGTGTGCAGTGTGAGGAGCGTAATGTGAGTGTGTGCAGTGTGAGGAGCGTAATGTGAGTGTGTGCAGTGTGAGGAACGTGATGTGAGCGTGTGCAGTGTGAGGAGCGTAATGTGAGTGTGTGCAGTGTGAGGAGCGTAATGTGAGTGTGTGCAGTGTGAGGAGCGTGTGCAGTGTGAGGAGCGTAATGTGAGCGTGTGCAGTGTGAGGAGCGTGTGCAGTGTGAGGAGCGTAATGTGAGTGTGTGCAGTGTGAGGAGCGTAATGTGAGTGTGTGCAGTGTGAGGAGTGTGATGTGAGCGTGTGCAGTGTGAGTAGTGTGATGTGAGCGTGTGCAGTGTGAGTAGTGTGATGTGAGCGTGTGCAGTGTGAGGAGTGTGATGTGAGCGTGTGCATTGTGAGGAGTGTGATGTGAGCGTGTGCATTGTGAGGAGTGTGTGCAGTGTGTGCAGTGTGAGGAGTGTGATGTGAGCGTGTGCAGTGTGACGAGTGTGTGCAGTGTGTGCAGTGTGAGGAGTGTGATGTAAGCGTGTGCATTGTGAGGAGTGTGTGCAGTGTGAGGAGTGTGATGTGAGCGTGTGCAGTGTGACGAGTGTGAGGAGTGTGTGCAGTGTGACGAGTGTGAGGAGTGTGTGGAGTGTGAGGAGCGTGAGGAATGTGTGCAGTGTGAGGAGTGTGTGGAGTGTGAGGAGCGTGAGGAATGTGTGCAGTGTGAGGAGTGTGTGGAGTGTGAGGAGCGTGAGGAATGTGTGCAGTGTGAGGAGTGTGATGTGAGCGTGTGCAGTGTGACGAGTGTGAGGAGTGTGTGGAAACTCACGGTATGGCCACTGCAGTGCTCAGACTGGCTGAACTGTTGCTCTCCAGCAGCATCATGGCCTGTTTGAGCTCCATCTTATTGTAGAAGGAGATGAGCTGCGGTTCCTGCGATCGCTCTCCAGTGATTAGACACCGCTTGATGTAACGCTTATTAAACCGATTCAGCCTGCAGAAGAACACGCATTAAAAAATAGAAAGTTTACAAGATCTGAAATACAAGAGTTCAGCCTGTGAACACCTGGCATCATTTACTCGCCCTTATGTCTTCTGCACACAGATAAATACATCAGATAAACGCTAATAAAGCGTCACTGTTTTTGGCCTTGTTACGACCCTGCGTTTCCCTTGCTCGCCTGCTGGGGGCGGTGTTCTTCAGGAGGGCGTGGGAGATCGCACACCCCTGTTACCTGCTCTCGATTTGATTGTGGAGAGGATAAAACCTTGGATTCCACCCTCTCCACGCCACTTCGTCCAGGGGATTGGCAGCCTCTGGAGGAGTCACTTGTTTTTGCGACGTTTATATTTGTTTACAGACCATACCAACCTTTTCTTATTCCCCATCTGGATTATGATTTTGTCCCCTTATGATTTTGAACCCTAGACTTTGTTATCCTAAGTTGTTTACACTTTTGTTGTAAGCTAATAAAACTTCTTGCAAGTCATTTTCTTGTACTTGTATCGCTTTATGTACGGTCGAAACGAGCTGGCCGTAACAGCCTTCAAAACTATTTTGACCAAAACTGAACATTCATTTTTTGCAGAATTTTTTTCTTTTGCTGAAATTTTTAATTATCACTATGTTTGGCATTGTTTTTGTGTAGAGTACAAAAGAAGAAGGCCAACAGACCTAATTTAAGTTGTTATTCACGGTTCAAAGCTTCTGAGAATCAAGGCCTCCACAGTTCATAAAACTCATTTGGAGATTAAACCAAATTGCGTGTACTTGGGATTTAAGAATCTAAATCGGTACTCTGATGTTTTTTGGAGAGCATCTGGGCACTGTATGGAAAAGCAGTGTGAACATTGATTCACAACATGAGGATAAAGAGTAAACAATGACAAGATTTTCAGTTTCAGCTGGACTTTTCCTGCAATGCTGGTCTGAAACGCACTTGTCCCTCCAGTGATGATGTCCGTAGTGTCCGCACACGCCCTCTATTCCAGTTAGCAAAAGTTCCAGAAACTGCAGGAGACACAAAACAGGAGCATTTAACATTTTAATCATCCATTAACCGTCCAGCCGAGCAGTTCTCGGCTAGCCTACATCACGTGTTTCTCAGTCTTTGAGATCAGGTACACTACCTGAGTGTGAATCTCCTCATTTATTGAACTTTTACTTTGTTTCCTCTTCTTGACGGCCAGAAGGTCAACGAGGGGTCGAATCGTCATTCCCTAAAAAACATCGGCAGGTTGATGGTGATCACGTGACGGAAGCCGAAATGCCAGAAACCACCGGCTACAGTATTTCCTACAACTGGATGGATATTCTTCAGCTAAAGGGAGTGAGTGTCCAATTCTCTCACCTGCACAAACACAGTGAAGAAGATGACGGTGATGATGGCGGTGAGAAACATGTCCTTCATGGGAAAGTCATCACTAGACAGCAGGAACGCCAGCGAGAAAGCGATCGCGCCCCTCAAGCCCCCGTAAGCCACAATGAACTGATCCTTCCCACTCAGCTTCACCATGCGGTACTTATTAATGATGTGCGTTAAACCGATCACACCTGCACGACACACCAACACACAAAACTCACAGCTTACAGACAGATTATATCTGGAAATACGCAAAACAAGCCAATAAAGGCTTATCCCTACTTTCAAAGAATTTTAGGAGGTTTTGTACAAGGGTTAGGGTCAGACACCAATCACACGTATCTGTTAGATACACACTACTGTTCAAAAGTTTGGAATAATTAAAAAATTTTAATGTTTCTGAAAGAGTCTCTTCTGCTCACTCTAACTAGCGTAGCATGAGGAGATGCTCACCCAGAATCCTGGAAAGCAGACAGAGGACGATGGTGATGGTGACAAACGTCCAGTTCCAGGCGTGCGGCCCGGCCACCGTCGACACGCCCAAGAAGATGAAGATCAGAGTCTCGCTCACGCTGCTCCACATTTTCAGGAAGTACTTGATGGTGGTGTAGGATTTGTGGGAAATGTTGGCCTCCACGTAGGGCCGCATCACCACGCCACACGCGATGAGCCTGAGAACCGCACAGAAACTCCAGCGTGAGACACAAGCACAGACTCTGGGCTCATTAGCAGTGGGAACGCCAGACTCACGCCATGATGCCGGACAGGTGGAAGACCTCGGCAGACAGATACGCCATGTAACTGTAGACGAAGACGAAGAGCGGCTCGATCACACGGGTGTGCGCCGTGAAGCGTGAGGTGAAGGCCGCCAGAACGCCGTACACGCCGCCCACCATCACTCCGCCCAGCGACACCACGAAGAAACACACAACGCCCAGAAACATGTCGAGCGCCGTCACCTCGCCCACATGCGCAAACTCCTCGAACAGGTGATACAGGACCTGAAGGAAACACACACTTACTGTAGCTCATGTATAAACATCGAAAAAGACATTTGAATGAAGGAGCTTTGACTTCTTCACTGTGTGACTCTGACGATGTGATGTCAGCTGAACCCTGATGGCTGATGGGATTTGATGGAGATCCGACAGAAAACAGGGCGGATCTACAGCAGACCAGCGTTCTCTGATCTCAGATGCCACACATTTTTTTAAACAGTTACAGTGCATCCAGAAAGTATTCACAGCGCTTCACTTTTTCCACATTTTGTTGTGTTACAGCCTTATTCCAAAATGGATTAAATTAATTATTTTCCTAAAAATTCTACAAACAATACCCCATAATGACAACGTGAAAAAAAAATAGTTTGAAATCTTTGCAAATTTATTTAAAATAAAAACGAAAAAAATCACATGACACTCAAAATTTAGCTCAAGTGCATCCTGTCTCCACGGATTATCCTTGAGATGTTTCTACAACTGGATTGGAGTCCACCTGTGGTAAATTCAGTTGATTGGACATGATTTGGAAAGGCACACACCTGTCTATATAAGGTCCCACAGTTAACAGTGCATGTCAGAGCACAAACCAAGCCATGAAGTCCAAGGCATTGTCTGTAGACCTCCGAAACAGGATTGTCTCGAGGCACAGATCTGGGAAAGGGTGCAGAAACATTTCTGCAGCATTGAAGGTCCCAATGAGCACAGTGGCCTCCATCATCCATAAACGGAAGAAGTGTGGAACCACCAGGACTCTTCCTAGAGCTGAGCTATCGGGGGAGAAGGGCCTCAGTCAAGCAGGAGACCCAGAACCCAATGGTCACTCTGGCAGAGCTCTCTCTGTGGAGAGAGGAAAACCTTCCAGAAGAACAACCATCTCTGCAGCTCTCCACCAATCAGGCGGAAGCCACTCCTCAGTAAAAAGTTCATGACAGCCCGCCCGGAGTTTGCCAAAAGGCACCTGAAGGACTCTCAGACCATGAGAAACAAAATTCTTTGGTCTGATGAAACAAAGATTGAACTCTTTGGCCTGAATGGCAAGCGTCATGTCTGAAGGAAAGCAGGCACTTCTCATCACCTGGCCAATACCATCCCTACAGTGAAGCAGCATCAGCTGTGGGGGTGTTTAACAGCAGCAAGGACTGGGAGACTCATCAGGGTCGAGGGAAAGATGAGGAACTGGGAGACTCGTCAGGATCGAGGGAAAGATGAGGAACTGGGAGACTCGTCAGGGTCGAGGGAAAGATGAGAAACCGGGAAACTCATCAGGGTCGAGGGAAAGATGAGGAACTGGGAGACTCGTCAGGATCGAGGGAAAGATGAGGAACTGGGAGACTCGTCAGGGTCGAGGGAAAGATGAGGAACTGGGAGACTCGTCAGGATCGAGGGAAAGATGAGGAACTGGGAGACTCGTCAGAATCGAGGGTAAGATGAGGAACTGGGAGACTCGTCAGGATCGAGGGTAAGATGAGGAACTGGGAGACTCGTCAGGATCGAGGGAAAGATGAGGAACTGGGAGACTCGTCAGGATCGAGGGAAAGATGAGGAACTGGGAGACTCGTCAGGATCGAGGGAAAGATGAGGAACTGGGAGACTCGTCAGGATCGAGGGTAAGATGAGGAACTGGGAGACTCGTCAGGGTCGAGGGAAAGATGAGAAACTGGGAGACTCGTCAGGATCGAGGGAAAGATGAGGAACTGGGAGACTCGTCAGGGTCGAGGGAAAGATGAGGAACTGGGAGACTCGTCAGGATCGAGGGAAAGATGAGGAACTGGGAGACTCGTCAGGATCGAAGGAAAGATGAGGAACTGGGAGACTCGTCAGGATCGAGGGAAAGATGAGGGACTGGGAGACTAGTCAGGATCGAGGGAAAGATGAGGAACTGGGAGACTCGTCAGGATCGAGGGAAAGATGAGGAACTGGGAGACTCGTCAGGATCGAGGGAAAGATGAGGAACTGGGAGACTAGTCAGGATCGAGGGAAAGATGAGGAACTGGGAGACTCGTCAGGATCGAAGGAAAGATGAGGAACTGGGAGACTCGTCAGGGTCGAGGGAAAGATGAGAAACCGGGAAACTCGTCAGGATCGAAGGAAAGATGAGGAACTGGGAGACTCGTCAGGGTCGAGGGAAAGATGAGGAACTGGGAGACTCGTCAGGGTCGAGGGAAAGATGAGGAACTGGGAGACTCGTCAGGATCGAGGGAAAGATGAGGTACTGGGAGACTCGTCAGGATCGAGGGAAAGATGAGGAACTGGGAGACTCGTCAGGGTCGAGGGAAAGATGAGGAACTGGGGGACTCGTCAGGATCGAGGGAAAGATGAGGAACTGGGAGACTCGTCAGGATCGAGGGAAAGATGAGGAACTGGGAGACTCGTCAGGATCGAGGGAAAGATGAGGTACTGGGAGACTCGTCAGGATCGAGGGAAAGATGAGGAACTGGGAGACTCGTCAGGGTCGAGGGAAAGATGAGGAACTGGGAGACTCGTCAGGATCGAGGGAAAGATGAGGAACTGGGAGACTCGTCAGGATCGAGGGAAAGATGAGGAACTGGGAGACTCGTCAGGATCGAGGGAAAGATGAAGGACTGGGAAACTCATCAGGATCGAGGGAAAGATGAGGAACTGGGAGACTCGTCAGGATCGAGGGAAAGATGAGGAACTGGGAGACTCGTCAGGATCGAGGGAAAGATGAGGAACTGGGAGACTCGTCAGGATCGAGGGAAAGATGAAGGACTGGGAAACTCGTCAGGATCGAGGGAAAGATGAGGAACTGGGAGACTCGTCAGGATCGAGGGAAAGATGAGGAACTGGGAGACTCGTCAGGGTCGAGGGAAAGATGAGAAACCGGGAGACTCGTCAGGATCGAGGGAAAGATGAGAAACCGGGAGACTCGTCAGGATCGAGGGAAAGATGAGAAACCGGGAGACTCGTCAGGATCGAGGGAAAGATGAGAAACCGGGAGACTCGTCAGGATCGAGGGAAAGATTAGGTACTGGGCGACTCGTCAGGATCGAGGGAAAGATAAATGTACAGAGACATCCCTGATGAAAACCTGCTCTGGATCTCAGACTGGGGCGACGGTTCATCTTCCAACAGCACAACGACCCTCAGCACACACCCAAGATAACAGAGGAGTGTCTACGGGACAGCTCTGTGAATGTCCTTGAATGGCCCAGCCAGAGCCCAGACTTGAACCCGATTGAACATCTCTGGAAAGATCTGAAAATGGCTGTGCACCAACGCTCCACATCCAACCTGATGGAGCTTGAGAGGTTCTGCAAAGAAGAATAAGATAAACTGCCCCAAAAATAGGTGTGCCAATGAATTTAATCCATTTTGGAATAAGGCTGTAACATAACAAAATGTGGAAAAAGTGAAGCGCTGTGAATATTTTCCGGATGTACTGTAGATACTAAAGTAAGTGAGTGTTATTTAATTTCTGTGTAATATTTGTTTAAATGTAAAAATCATTGCTTATAAGTTAAAAAAAAAGTCCAGGTTCTATGCATAAATACTAGCATAGTGTTTGTTAAGTAGGGCTGCACAACTGGTCAGCATTTTGTGATTATATATCAATATGGTTATAAAGTAATAATAATAATAATGACTACTTCTAAAAATATATATAGTACTAAAAAATAAGAAAAATTACTTTAGTAATTTTTTACTGTAAAATAAAAGTATTTAAGAAAAAAATAATTTTATATTACAACTGTATAACTACAATCCTAATATTCATGGCTGTCTTAATTTCTTAATTTTCAAAGATTAAACCATCAAGCTTTTATTTTAGCAGAAAACCGCACCGTGTTTGTGAAGATGTTTGTTAAAGCGACTCAAACTCAGAGCAGATGCAGATGGAGTAAGGGTTACCACACACACACACACACACACACACACACACACACACACACACACACACACACACTCACTCTCAGCGGCGGATCATGAGCGGATCAGAGCTGTGCTTCACACACGCATGTTCATATATATTTAACAGCACTAAGTGTGTGAGCTTCAGTGAGGAGTGTGTGAGCTTCAGTGGGGAGTGTGTGAGCTTCAGTGGGGAGTGTGTGAGCTTCAGTGAGGAGTGTGTGAGCTTCAGTGAGGAGTGTGTGAGCTTCAGTGGGGAGTGTGTGAGCTTCAGTGGGGAGTGTGTGAGCTTCAGAGGGGAGTGTGTGAGCTTCAGTGGGGAGTGTGTGAGCTTCAGAGGGGAGTGTGTGAGCTTCAGTGAGGAGTGTGTGAGCTGCAGTGGGGAGTGTGTGAGCTTCAGTGAGGAGTGTGTGAGCTGCAGTGGGGAGTGTGTGAGCTTCAGTGGGGAGTGTGTGAGCTTCAGTGGGGAGTGTGTGAGCTTCAGTGAGGAGTGTGTGAGTTTCAGTGAGGACTGGAGTGTGTGAGCTTCAGTGGGGAGTGTGTGAGCTTCAGTGAGGAGTGTGTGAGCTTCAGTGGGGAGTGTGTGAGCTTCAGTGGGGAGTGTGTGAGCTTCAGTGGGGAGTGTGTGAGCTTCAGTGGGGAGTGTGTGAGCTTCAGTGAGGAGTGTGTGAGCTTCAGTGAGGAGTGTGTGAGCTTCAGTGGGGAGTGTGTGAGCTTCAGTGAGGAGTGTGTGAGCTGCAGTGGGGAGTGTGAGCTTCAGTGAGGAGTGTGTGAGCTGCAGTGGGGAGTGTGTGAGCTTCAGTGAGGAGTGTGTGAGCTTCAGTGGGGAGTGTGTGAGCTTCAGTGGGGAGTGTGTGAGCTTCAGTGGGGAGTGTGTGAGCTTCAGTGAGGAGTGTGTGAGCTTCAGTGGGGAGTGTGTGAGCTTCAGTGGGGAGTGTGTGAGCTTCAGTGGGGAGTGTGTGAGCTTCAGTGGGGAGTGTGTGAGCTTCAGTGAGGAGTGTGTGAGCTTCAGTGGGGAGTGTGTGAGCTTCAGTGAGGAGTGTGTGAGCTTCAGTGGGGAGTGTGTGAGCTTCAGTGGGGAGTGTGTGAGCTTCAGTGGGGAGTGTGTGAGCTTCAGTGGGGAGTGTGTG